GGTACCGATACCTAAACCTATAGGTACCAGTACTTGGATTCTAGTGGGCTCATATACTGGTACNAAAATATAGGCTCGGGTACTGGTACTTAAGTGATTAAGTACCGGTACCACGCTGTTGGATGACCTAGGTACCAATACCTAAACCTATAGGTACCAGTACTTGGATTCTAGTGGGCTCATATACTGGTACCCCGATGGATAGTGAGCTCAAGTATCAGTAACAAGAACACATGGGTAATGGTATCTAGAAAACATGGGTACCGGTACCTTGAAAATAGTGAGCTCAGGTACTGATATCAGTACCCCGATGGACAGTGGGCTTAGATACTAATACCAAGACATATGGATACCGATACCTAAAAAGCAATGGGCTTAGGTATCGGTACCAGTGTATATAGGTATCGATATCTTGCAAACAGAAGGCTCAAGTATCAGTACCACGTACCAGAGGAATCGGTACCTCACCCCAAAATTTGAAATTTTAAAATGTAACACTGAGGGGCATTCACTCTTTGAACGACCCCTACGGACAATGTAAATGGATAATAAAACACTCAAATTACTAGGGTTTGGACCTTGGAATGGTCTTGTGATGGATCTGTGTACAGGTTACGCATTGGATAGTGCTTTGGTACAAGGTAGATTATGCCCAAGGCTTTTTTTGGTTATGATTCCAGTGAATGGGGTGTAATGACAAGGTATCGGGATATGCGGTACTCACGGGTATACTTTCACTAATTGATGGGTGATCAACGGTTTGAGAAAAGTCCCCTAGATTTTGGGGCGTCACAATTACGAACAGTAGTACTTGGTAGACCACTAGGTTCAAATGGCTTCTTATGCATTCCCTTGGGTTAGTGACGATTCTCATCACTAAAACGTTACTGTCGTAGTGCGGGGTTTATACATCTTCACGGCAAATGTATAGTCAAATCCCTTTGATAAAGGTCCTAACCAATTTTTTCTCTGTCTAATTGTGATCTTGATTAGATAGTCGTTCAAAACGACTCTGATATTCTATCCCTGTGACAAATTTTGGCCAACTCACCATCAACTTTGCCTACTCAGAAGGGCCAAAACAAACTAGCAGCCCTTCGACAAATCTGGTCCATATGGGCATCCCATTGCATCTCCCTCAAGATTGATTCAAGCCAACCCAACCTTCAATTTTTCAAGTGTATGATGGAAGCGAAAAAAAAAATTCTACACAAGAGATCCATCCGGTCAGATCGCCACTCTCCCATCACGGAAATTCTACCTTTATTCATGGAAATCTTGATCATTGTCATATTTTCCACCTTGATTTTCTTTCCTAGTAAAACATTGGTTTTGTCCTTGCTGTACCTCATGATCTATTGGCTCCATAGGATTCACCACTGAACCTGCAGTGGTTTCTTGTAGATTCTTTGTAGGACAGTTAACCAAAGACTTGTGTGATTGTGGCTTGAAGGGATTCCTTTAGCTTTTCGAACTTTCAATCAAACTTTGATTCAAGTCTTGCCTCTAATCTGGCTTCCAATTGAGACTGATCTGTGATTGGTTGGAAAGAGTTACATGGAGCCATGGTATATGATTGCAGATCTTGTATACCAAGTTTTTTCTTCTAATTGCGTGTCAAAGGCATACACGAGATCACCGCTCTGATACCAACTTGATAGGACCCCAAAGTTCGATCAAAAGAATAACAAAAAATTTAGAAGAAATTAATAGAATAGGAGAAGAATTAGGAGAAAGGAAGAACAAAGTGATCTCTTCGAGGGGATCGTCCTCCAAATGCATGAAGCAAAGTAGTTTTTCATTGACGGTCAAAGAGCCCACAATGCATTACAATTTATTGACTACCTAGTCTCCAACAATTTAGTTAAATGGCTAAAATTAACAATTTAATTACAATTTATTTAAATGGCTAAAATTAACAATTTAATTAAATGCCTAAAATTACGGGATTTTGCTCATCATTTAATATTGTATTTTATAGTCGCTGGGGTTGAGAGTAAGAAAACGTAAATGGGCTCTACATTCATTACCAAGGTATACAAACTATGTTGCATTCACCAATTTACAGGTAAGTGCATTGTCAACTCATTGATATGCTGAGATGAAATTCAATTACGATTCACTTTAGTAATTAGTTGTTTTAATCATAGATCACCGTCGCTGCAACTTGAACATCAAAAGTTCCATTGGGATTCGTAGTTAGCACTGATAAAATCTTGTACAGCAATGTATCAAAATCCGACCTAAATGCGCCTAAATGCATATTTTTGAAATCAATCTTCCTCCACCTCGAAAGGAGCCGAATGCAAACATGTTNCGGTCAGATCGCCACTCTCCCATCACGGAAATTCTACCTTTATTCATGGAAATCTTGATCATTGTCATATTTTCCACCTTGATTTTCTTTCCTAGTAAAACATTGGTTTTGTCCTTGCTGTACCTCATGATCTATTGGCTCCATAGGATTCACCACTGAACCTGCAGTGGTTTCTTGTAGATTCTTTGTAGGACAGTTAACCAAAGACTTGTGTGATTGTGGCTTGAAGGGATTCCTTTAGCTTTTCGAACTTTCAATCAAACTTTGATTCAAGTCTTGCCTCTAATCTGGCTTCCAATTGAGACTGATCTGTGATTGGTTGGAAAGAGTTACATGGAGCCATGGTATATGATTGCAGATCTTGTATACCAAGTTTTTTCTTCTAATTGCGTGTCAAAGGCATACACGAGATCACCGCTCTGATACCAACTTGATAGGACCCCAAAGTTCGATCAAAAGAATAACAAAAAATTTAGAAGAAATTAATAGAATAGGAGAAGAATTAGGAGAAAGGAAGAACAAAGTGATCTCTTCGAGGGGATCGTCCTCCAAATGCATGAAGCAAAGTAGTTTTTCATTGACGGTCAAAGAGCCCACAATGCATTACAATTTATTGACTACCTAGTCTCCAACAATTTAGTTAAATGGCTAAAATTAACAATTTAATTACAATTTATTTAAATGGCTAAAATTAACAATTTAATTAAATGCCTAAAATTACGGGATTTTGCTCATCATTTAATATTGTATTTTATAGTCGCTGGGGTTGAGAGTAAGAAAACGTAAATGGGCTCTACATTCATTACCAAGGTATACAAACTATGTTGCATTCACCAATTTACAGGTAAGTGCATTGTCAACTCATTGATATGCTGAGATGAAATTCAATTACGATTCACTTTAGTAATTAGTTGTTTTAATCATAGATCACCGTCGCTGCAACTTGAACATCAAAAGTTCCATTGGGATTCGTAGTTAGCACTGATAAAATCTTGTACAGCAATGTATCAAAATCCGACCTAAATGCGCCTAAATGCATATTTTTGAAATCAATCTTCCTCCACCTCGAAAGGAGCCGAATGCAAACATGTTGATTAATAATGATGAACCCAAATCTAATTGGATCAGACCCAATAAATCAAGCAAGCCCAAGTTAGCTAAAAAGCAACTCAAGCCCACTTTATCAATCCATCTCAGTCCAAGATCCAAAAAACCCGGGAAGATAAGAGTACATGGGAGAAAGATTATCATAATACACATTCACGAATATCAATTATACCTTAATTGTACTTACTTTTTGTAACTATCCTCTCCGAAAAAAGTAGTGCCCTCGTACTCACGTCACCGCCTCACCATATCTATAAATTGTATGTTTTCTCCACATGGAGACAGACATCTCCCAAGACACCTTGACACCTCTCTACACCGGTACACATAGCTTTTCTCCTAATTACTGTATCTCTCCCGGAGCATATATCTTTCGGAGCTTTCTCTCTTTTACTTTATTTATCAATAAAACCCCCCAATTACCGCTGTCGTTTTTCAAGAGTAAAATAAATCACCCCAACCGAACCACTATATATCTATGTTTTTTTCCCCCTATTTACTATTTTATTATTGATTGCTTTATTTATTGTCCATTAATTACATCTTATCACACACTCGACTATTCATCTTACACGAAGACCAATTCGTGCATCATCAAGTACAATAAAAGAAAACTGAACATTGGAAAAAATGTAAACTAAGCAAAAAGTGTATGTAAATCTTATTCAGGTACCATTTGACATCGTTTTCTATTACCTTTTTAGTTTTTTATATTATTATATTAATCAAGTAATTTTGTTTTTTCAATATGCACTATTTTTGTGTTTCTAAGTCCAAACTCAATTGCATACATAGGAAAATACAGGTGCACATGTTTATTCCACATGCACGCTGTCATGCCTTATGGAAAACCATGGACCTTTATCACGTCAAACGCATTCAATCAGTCCTCTGGCAGTCTATTCTGAGCATTGCCACATGGCAATAGTCAACTTCAACCCTGCCTACCCCACCAAAAACAATGGAATGATGATTGAGATGAGAATCTGCACTTCGTTTCAAACTACAATACTAAAAAGATCAAATTTTATCAACTTGAAGCGAATTCAATAAAAACCACACTAGAACCAGCAAATAAAACTATGAAATCCTTCTTAAATCAACTATATTGCAACACTTTCCCACCTTGATGCTAGGTTCTCCTACAAGTACAAAACCGACCCTACCCACGCTAAAGGTCTAGCTTTCCAAGGCAAGATGATAATACCAAACTATTAATAAAGGTACCCTATTGCTTAAAGCCACAGGAGAAAAAACAAAAACAGCACTAAAAAATAAAAAGGGAAACTTAAACCAAATCCCCAAGGGTATAAACCCTACAAGAAGCTAACTAGTGGCTAAACTGCCCATGATGAGGAAAAATGGGGCTTAATATCTCAGATTCCTAGAAGGAGCAGAGCCTGCATTGCATTTAATTAAATCTTTGAAGTGGCTTGCACACCTTTTGTTTCCCTTAATCCATCTCTAAAGCAAGCAAGGCAGATCCAATGGGGTAGTCCAATTGCTCAAGGAAAATTATCCAAGCATTTGCTTCAAATCTAGCCCGGCAGATATTCCGACCAAAAGTAGTTCTAAGCTAGCAACCATTTGCAACCCCATTTGCCACAACTTTATTCTCGGAAACTGCAACTGGTTTTGCACCCTTTGGAGCATCTCCAGATTTTACAACTGCTCCATTTGCTGAAAGCTTAATATCACCATTAGTCTGAATGGAGGCTGTAGGTTCCTTGACCAAGTCTAAGGCAACTTCTGATGACTTCTGGAATTTGAGTTCCCCAATTGTGAGATCTTTGTTTTTTTCAACAGTGGGCTTTCCTTCCCGTGCCTGGCATAGGCAATTTAACAAATGTTAGCCTTTATACCAAACAACAGTAATCATTGTCCCCAAACAAGAATGGGTTCAAATGAATACTGAGAAGGGTGAAAGGTAAATGAGCTTAAGATAATTCACAGCTTCACTATTTCAACCGGTGTACTGTAAATTATGCAGTGAGAAATCTCTTGCCTGTTTTTGGAAATGCTGTTGCTTAGCCTTTTTCTCCAGGATCCTCATCTGGCGATCCTCATAGAAGTCAAAATCATCCAGGATGCATTGTTTGCTGCAATGGTCCTTAAAAATTTTGAGCACTTGAAGTCCCTGTTCCAACTTGACCTGCACAAACATGGAAGTTTCCAGCCTGAATTTAATTGAAGAGCTAACCAAACAAAACTTTTAAGAGCTAATACCTCTTGAGTGTCCCTGCTGTTAGTGACAGGTTTATTCTCATTGTTTTCAAGGGTGATGTGCTTCAACAAACTGTTGGGTACATCCTTCACCATGTGCCACTTAACAGTGAAACAACCAATCCACTTGTCTTGCTGCCAATACTCCACATTCTTGTTGAAATCAACTGGCCCAACCATCTCCGCAACACCAACAAATTGCCCACTAGTATTGACCTAAAAAAAATAACGAAATTTCTAAGAAAAAAGTAAAGCAGCAGAAGGAACTACCTCTCAAACAAGTCGCATCCAGATGCATACCGAGAAGAAAAGAAATATAGGACAGTCACCAAGCTTCTGCAGAGCCTCCTGGTATGCTGCATCAAGCTTCTTATTACCATGCGGAGTGCTGGCCCACACATTATACTTGATGCTCTTATGGACATCGTCCTCACTGTATGACTTAATAATGAAAAACTTAGCATCAGTATATTTCTCGGGAAAATCTGCTCGGTTATATTGCTGACGATCAGGAATTGCACTCGACTTTTCCTTCTCATCATCATTAGTGCCTGCCAATGGGATATTCTGCCCCTTGACTGCCAAGGCAACAGGTGCAAACCCCGTTTGATTCTTAGAGCTCTTGGCTCTCGGGCCCCTATTCAACTCATTCAAACCATCCATGTTCCCATTGCCATAACCAAAGAGTCCATTGCCTCGTCCCCTAGGCTTATACTTGCTATCAACAGCCAACCACCCACGTCCATTTGTTCGTGATTCATAACCATTAGAACCCAGAACAGATCTGAAAGTGTTCCCATAATGCCCATATAATTTGTTCGGGTACATCCTATTTATATATCCATTAGCTGTGCTCATGCCAGGCACCAGCCTTGGATGTTGCAAACCCTGCTGATGAAACAAATGAACATTTTATAAAATAGAAAATCTGGATCATCCAAAAACTATGAAAACAAGTCCACAGGAACTTCACGAGTAGAGCTGATCAAACAGAGGAAAAATATATAATTTACCAACATTCAACCAGTGAGTTTTAAATGAGATTTATAACATGATGCAGTTGGAATGGTTGCACCAATTGGGTCATAACCCACATGATCCTCTAGTGTGTATCCAGATGGACCAAATTTAATGGTTAAGCCCACCTCTTCAGGAGTAAGGTTTCTGTTTCAGCTTACTTCTAACTTGTAACCTGCTATTTCTTTTCAGGCAATTTCTATATGGCATTATTTAGCTAAAAGATTAATCTCGTGCAAATGACAAAATTTACATACCATGAGATGAGAATTTGGACGGAGATTCTGATTCCTTGATAATGAGTATCCCCCAGTTGGTGAGGTGATAGAAGCACTTTTCACATGCCCAGGCTGCCCATCTGAAAATATGGAGCCATCTACCCATGTTATCGGAGACCGCAACCCATCAAAACCAAATCCTAGATCCTGATAACCAGAAGACACTATTCCTCCTGGTATTGCTCCCCTTCCATAGGAGCCACTTGTATTAAATGATGAATTCTGATATGTTGGTCTTACTGGCGCTGAACCATTATTTCCCTTGATGCCCCCAATATTTGCAATGCCGTTGGAATTCCCGTTAGCAGTTTCCACAGACAAAGGCAGTTGGTCAGCAGCTGCAGAGGTGGAAATCTCACCTTTGGGAGGAGCAGCTGGACTAGGATATAGTCCACTAGTTGGAGTTGGAGGTTGAAAATACGGAGTTGGATACTGGTAGTGCTGAGCTCCATAAAGCTGGCCATCATGTGCCACAGTCGGAACTGGGGAACCAGCTGGTGAATATGGGCCATAGGGTGCATAACCATAGCCGTGGTGATACATAAGCGACCCATTGTCCCCATAAGCTCCCTGCATTCAGGCAAAGAAAGAATAAAATAAAAAATTTAGACCATCAACAAATTGCTCAAGGATAAGGCTTCACAAGACAAAAGGAATACATCACAACATACAAGCGAATCATGGTTACAGCGGGTAAAAATTAGGCATCATAATGTGCAGAAACATATATGAGCAGTTATGAAAACTTACAGGAGTCATCTCCACTCCATCCGGACTCAGAAATCTGGAGTAGTCGTCCCACTTATCACAAGTCCCATCATAGCCTAAGGGGGAAAAAAATGCAAAAACGTCACAATAATCACCAAGAAGCAAACAGGATTGCACATGTCTACTGAAAATTTAGACCGTCTGAGTTGAAACAGCTCCATTCAATTTTGAATGTACTTTTTTCATGTTGGCAAAGTCCCAAAACATATCAAATTTAAAATTCAGAAAGAGATTGGCTTACCACCATAATAATAGGCAGTAGGATAACTGTTGGCAACATAGCACATGGTCGGATCCATAAAATCTGGCGGCGAAGGTGTCATGGACCGATCAAATGACTGGATCTTACCATTTTTGTTGTCAGCCGTATCAACACAAGCCTACGATTTTGGAAATAACAGTCAACCACCACAGAAAAATAGTCCAGTGTAAAAATGGGATCCTCTATTCAAATAAACTGCTGAGTAAGATAAAACTGAGAATCACCTTCTTGGTGGGCTCTTGAATTTCCAGAGTCTTAGTCTGGGAATCCATGGACAACTTCTGCAGCAAATCTGCAGCTTCTATAGCAACAGAAGTAAAGGGATACAAAATTTGTGGATAATTTATTCAAATGTCACTTGATTTAAAAAATAACTGCTCAGTCTATCAAAAACCTAAAACAAATAGAAATTAGGCAAGCTCCAAAACTCCACCCCTACCATGCAAAGTAGGTGAATCAGTAAGGCTCCTTTGTAAGGTCTAGAGTCAAGATTGCAGTATTTGTGCGACCAATCCTTTAGGAAAAACATCAAAATTGAAACAGAAAGCAAACCTAAAGAGAGATAAACTGGTAATTCTATTTTATTATTACCACCGTAAAACTTATTAAGAAACATATTAAAAGTAAAAACACAGCCAATCCCAGTCATATCCATCTATGTGCAATTCAACACAACTAACAACACAATAGAGAAGCATAAGAAAGACGACCAAACAGATATGAAAAGTTGAGAAAAAGCACATAACAAATCCTATGTACACACTAAATCTCATATACATAAGCATCACAAATCAAGAATGAAACTAGAAAAACAGCACCACTGAATAAATTTAAGCACAAAATCCTAGACAACAGCCTTAGACTCAACGTACCCAAATCTACCACAAGGAATAACAACCACACAAGAACCATGAATTCTCACACCAACGAGACCATGAATTCTCCCAACAACGAGACCATGAATTCTCACAACACATACATAAACACGGAGAATAAAAACCAGGATCCAGACATAACAAAAGGAATAAATCATAAATTCCAGGTGTGTAAAAAGTAGGTCAGAGTCGGTAAGGATACGATCTACAGCAGGAGCAACGGCGGCCATGACCAGATCTTTGAAAGGGGCGACCTTGGAAGTCTAATCCAAAAAGGTTTAGATAGGAGAGTTAGACGAGATCTAGGGGGACAAACGGGCAGAGTGTCAGCCGCCACGAAAAGCTACAGGGGGTTTGGGTTTCGGGAGGCGGAAGAGGGTTTTGAACTATCCTAACGTGGTGATCCAAATAGCCCCACGGCTTCACTCCCTCGGGCCCCTCAATTTCTCTGTATTTCTCTTTTCACCCACTTGCAATGCACCACTTGCACGTGAAAATATTTTTTTTAAAAATTAATAAATAAATATTTGATATATGTTTACTTGAATTAAATATGAATTCAAATTTATTAAACTTATTTTTTCATCGTTCATGCTCTACTATAGAATTTTTGAAAATTTTGTATGTTTTCAAGATTTGTTATTCTAACTTTCAAACAAATGATAAAAAATAAATAAATAATTAAAGTTTGAAAATTAAATTTTTTAAAATTTAATTTGAATAAAATTCTACTTATAAATCTATCTAATAAAGTAACTAGATTGTCTGTCTTTAGTTTTTCGCAGTTTAGATCATTTTGATTTGATGGTCGTAATTAGACCTTCATTCTTTTTACAACTATAAATCTCTCATATAATTCTCTTTATCTATCTATCTATCATACACTTTATCTCTCATACTATTATCTTTTTTTTTCTCTTGTGTTATTTTTGCTATTATTTACTCCATAAAACATATAAAACTTCATGTCATCCAATTATTTATTCTTTGAAACTAATTCAAAATTTTTGTATATCTGACCGTATGCATTTTATCATTTACTTCTTAATTTGTAAATAACACTGAATGTAAATAAAAAAATAGCACATTGACTATAAACACCAAATAATATTTAACATAAAATGAATCTTAGATTGTAAATTAATATATATTTTTATCAAAAATTGACACTTAATTTTCTCTAATTTATATTCAAATTTATCGAAGTAATATCAAATTAATATTAAAATTTATTTAATCAATTTTTTTAGTACTAAATTATATCAATTTTTTGAGTACTAAATCAACTTTTATTTTATTTTATTTTATTAAATTTTTAATTTTTTTGGTACTAAATTTAGAGAAGGACAATTGTAAAAATAATAAAAAATTTTAGAATAAAATTATCAATTTTCGTTTTCAAAATTGACGAAAGAAAGATAGAAGAGTCTCCGTGTAATGAATAACAAACCTCAAGGGGTCTACCTGTTATTTATATAATATGTTCATGCAATATTTCCAAAAACTAGGGAATATCCAAGATTTTAGTTTTTTACCCTATTTTTTAATTAAACATTAATATATTATTATTTTACCTTAAAAACTTAAATTATTCTATTTCTAATAAAATCAATTATTGGTTATAAAGCTTTGTTAGTAACCAAAAAAAAAATATGTGTGAGTGTGTTTTTGTGTACATTTACATGTGGAGCATTGAACATTTAGTGATTAAATTTATAATTATATTGTGTCATTTGGGGTTGAATTATGATAGTGATGATAAATTCATGAGTTTATAAATGAGCAAAATTTGGTTAATTTTATTTACCGTTTAAAGATTGTAAATTTAATTGTATTCTATTTGTAATTTTTCTTTTTAGCTTAAGGTATTCGTTACATAGAGATAGGGTGGATTAGAAATATTGTAGTTGAGTTGATAATTATATTGTGTTTGTAAACCCCCACGTGATTATAGTAATATCATAATAAATTGTGTAGTAATTTTAATATATATAATGGCATAGGAATGAACCATATAGGTTATAACTGTAGAAATAATGATATTGTGAAAACCCAGATAAATATATGAAATCGTTTGTAATAGAAGTTGTACCAACTAGGTTTGATGTTCAAAAGTTTTTTGTATAAGTTTGGGTTGACTTTGGAAGGGTTAAAGGTGGATTGGAAATGAAAAAAAAAAGGGACAAAATTGCCAAAGGGTACCGTACGCATACCAGTACAGCCGACAGATTCCAGAAATTTTAAGTCGCGATCTGGGTCCGATTTCTTCCACTATAAATATATAAAAGACGTCTCATTTAGTCTCATTTCAACACCTCAAAATCTAGAAAACCTTAGAGAGGAAGAAAGGAAGAGAAGAACACAAGATAAAAGGGGATTTGCGTCTTGCATTGAATCAAAACCCTAGATTTCTTCAATAACACCAAAGTAGGAGTTTCTTCCTATTCTCTTACATGGAGGTTAGAGTTTACTTATACGTATTCTTTTGACTCTAAATCTTATTTATTTGTTAGTAAATCATTGATTCTTAATATTTTTGCAAACACTATCATGTTTTAAACAAATCTATGGTGGGATAATCATTAAATCTCTTCTTCTTGACTCAAAACCCTAATTTTCAAGAGAAACGAATTTTTCTCTTGATTTTTTCTTTGTTCTTCATTTCAAAACTTTAGTGTTTTATATTGAACCACAAAATAGTATTTATGATGATCTCTTGCATATATTCTTAAATTGTTCTATTGGCATACTACTTGTGAAATTTGAGAATTTTTGAATGTATTTGTGATTGGAGAAATTGATTGGATATTATATCTCTTGTGGATGTTTGGATGACCATGGGTAGCCATTGACCGGATATCGTAGAGTNGTGGATATTTGGATGACCATGGGTAGCCATTGACCGGATATCGTAGAGTGGGTTAGATGCGTTTCTTACTCCGTGTGGGTTTGAAGGTTTCCTATCACTCGTAGTAGGGTTGGTGTTTTGTGAGGACCAAACTACTATTCACTCACGGGTACCGAGGAGAAGGGGTAGTATACTATTCATGGGTTGGATTCGTNGCATATATTCTTAAATTGTTCTATTGGCATACTACTTGTGAAATTTGAGAATTTTTGAATGTATTTGTGATTGGAGAAATTGATTGGATATTATATCTCTTGTGGATGTTTGGATGACCATGGGTAGCCATTGACCGGATATCGTAGAGTGGGTTAGATGCGTTTCTTACTCCGTGTGGGTTTGAAGGTTTCCTATCACTCGTAGTAGGGTTGGTGTTTTGTGAGGACCAAACTACTATTCACTCACGGGTACCGAGGAGAAGGGGTAGTATACTATTCATGGGTTGGATTCGTCACTACCATGAGTTGGTATACACTCTTATCAATGGTTGGATATCCTTACGAGGATTTGGGTGTGTGTGTGTGGGCCAAGATATTTTCGATGTGTTTATTCATGTGAATCATGCATTATACCTAAGATACGAATACAAGTTGTGGGTTCATGATTTATTATACCAGAAAAGGTTTCCTACAAGGGCTTGTGGAGNCGCTCACGGGTACCGAGGAGAAGGGGTAGTATACTATTCATGGGTTGGATTCGTCACTACCATGAGTTGGTATACACCCTTATCAATGGTTGGATATCCTTACGAGGATTTGGGTGTGTGTGTGTGGGCCAAGATATTTTCGATGTGTTTATTCATGTGAATCATGCATTATACCTAAGATACGAATACAAGTTGTGGGTTCATGATTTATTATACCAGAAAAGGTTTCCTACAAGGGCTTGTGGAGGTATGAGATTCTACAAGAACTTGTGAAAAATGGTTTATGGTTGTAAATGATTTGTTAATACCATAAATGGTTTTCTGCAAGAGCTTGTGGAAGTATGAGATTCTACAACAACTTGTAGGAAATGATTTATGGTTGTAAACGATTTGTTAACTGTAATTTGGCGTTATTACTTTACTTAATTTATTGCTATTCCGTAAACTTGAGATCCGTTGAAATGTTCTGATTTTATTTCAAAAATTAATATATGATATTTGAGAAATGAGACCGACTTGTTTTACATGTAATCTAAACCTTGTTCGAGTTTGAGAGGAATGTTGCTACAGAGCTTAGTGCTCATCCCCAACAAACAATATATTTATAGATTACCTGTTAGATAAGGAGCTCAGAGTCGATGAATAGGTGCATTGGAAAACTACGCTAGACGGGCACGTGGAACCCGAGGTGGATGTTTAGGGCTATAATATCCTAGGTGCTAGACTAGGAAATTCCTTTTGAGACTTAGTGGAGTCTAATATTTTGTTATTTCGTTGCAAGTTTAAATGTGTTTCTTTTGGATGTAATTGTCATGGTTGGACATATTCTTTTGGGATGATGTTGTAAATATTAGATATGATGAATGGATTTTTATTTATTGCTAGATTATATTAGTTGCTCTCATGATGTGAATGGTTTTTAAATTATAATGCCGTCCAAGGTGGTTTTTGGGTCGTTACAAATTTTGATATCAGAGCCTAGGCTGTAAATCTTACATGGGAGTTGTAGGTTATGGATTACCATTAGAGAGATAGGACTAGGTTGAATGAAATTGGGGATTTAAAGTTTTATACAAGCCTTATACTTTAGGTTAAAGTGATAGTTGGGATTTCCTGTACATCAATGAAACTAAATTGTGAATTGATGTGCAGGATGGAGGGTGAACGTGGACGTAGACGTGGACGGGGACGTGATGGCCAAGCAAACCCACCATTACCACCTCCAGATGCAATGCCTAAGGGAGCTAACCACTCTAGTATGACGCCAGAATAGAAACAACAACCAGCGATGACAGAACTTCGCAAGGGGAGGTCTGATTAGGACTGGTGCTAGCAGCAGTGGAGCTACACAAAGGGTAGCTCCGTACCACCGACTTGGCCAAGCTTCAGGGCAAAGGAATCAAGTCGTTCGAGGAGCGGGGGGTTACTTGGAACAGAGCAGACATTGACCCACGTCAATGCTTCGCATGTGGAGGGTTCAAGCACCTCAAAAATAATTGCCCATCGATTCCACTAAAGACCAATCAAGCAACGGGACAAGTACATGCAAATAAGCCGCCACGACGGAAGCCATTACAGTCGAAACCATTAGGAGCTATAGCCCCAGGTGGTACCAAGCAAGAAAGAGTTTTTGCTTTGACCTAACCGGAGGAAGATGTTTCCGATGCAGTTGTTGAAGG